TTATTTGATATTGGTAAGTCATTCATAACATTTAAAATTTGCAAGTTTCATATTTTAGACTTTATAAATAGCCAAAATAGAAATTTTTATGAATTTATTGTCACTTAGAGACTATTTTAAAAACATTTAAACGAACAATTGTAACAAAGTTGATAATGCAGATTCATTTATAATCAAAAGAATAATAATCCTATTATGAAAAGCTTCCCGTATTCGTACTTTAGATGATAATCATCGTCCGTATAGTGATGAATATGCGTACAAAATTTCATATTATCTATCGTTACATTTAAGAGGCAAACCATTCGGTTTCGAATTTACAAAATGCGCCAAAACATGTTTTACTCACTTGAAAATAGTATAAGGTGCGGTTGAATGGGAAAGACTATAAGAAAACGAATAGACCTACGAAAAATAAAATCCCCGTAGACATGCAGTAATCACAGAGATTATTTCTCACCATATAAAACACGCAATTATAATAATACCGTCTAGACTTTAATGACGTCAGTTTTAATGACGGTAATCATTCTGAAATTTCATCCTTAGCTTTGGCTGTATTCCAAAACTTATCGGTGACTCTGCGTGGGAAGAACACAATGAATAATTAAAACTCCGATGAGTATCACACATGTTCAGTGCACGCTAATCAATGTTTACAATTTGTTGATATATAACTCAACGTAACTCATATTGATCAAACGCGATCATGTATAGGCTTACTACTTACTCTTCCTTCATTATATATCTATGTTTCATTGTTTATTCCAACGAACAAAACGTTACGGAATCTGAAGTTCCAGTACCGACAAGAATAATATTAGATGAATCTGAAATGGCGAGTTTAAGGGATCAAGCTATGGCTAACGCTTCCATAAGTCTATCAAATACGAGTCTGTCGGATTTGCAAAACGATAACGATACGATAAGATTGCATCAACAGTATAGAGAAAGGTAAGTCTGAAACTTAGTTAAACGTGTCATTTAATCTTAATTTTCTTATAAATTTCGTAAAATTATTTTATGTAAAAACTCTCAGTTTTAAAATTTTAAATATACTCTCAGCTATACCATTAGTTTATTAAAAAATATTATTAGATTAAAATGTAAATGAGTCTATAACTTAATGTACTGTACCTGTATTACTTAACGTAGCCTACCTTTACTGAATAATATAAAAGCGCAGTTTCAAAAAAGTAATGTTTAATCAAAACAAAAAAGAAAAAGCAAAAAAAGAGAGATTAGGGGTCGTGTTTTTGTATATATGTGTTCAAATCACGATAAGTATCAATTCGTTTTTTTATCAACATTACCAACGTAAGAAATAAACAATGATGCAATGGACAAAAAACCACATATAAATATATATAAACTAAAACTTGAAAAAATATTTATGTATCGTAAATGTATACAAATATAAAGTGATACGTAAAACTTTAATTAATTCTGCGAAATACGTAAGATCCTCGTAATTAAAGTCCATCTTAATTGAAAACAATGTTCATCATATTGTAATTACTCTCTTCAAGGTCAAGATTAAATTTATTTCACAACTTACATCGTATTCTCTATATACTCTCTATTGTAAGCATTATAAATATATAAAATATGTCATATTGCTTACAATGAGTTGAAATTGACACTTATATTTATAATTATGATTAATTACAGGAATCGAGAAAAACGTTTACAAGCCATAAAGAAACAAATTTTAGAAAGACGGCGTATATCGTCTTCATTGAACAGTACTTTTCCAGCCTTAACGCAAACGGAGATTGATTACATAGCACAGACTTACGATCGACTTCGACGTTCGAGTATTATCCCAGGATCAGCAACAACAACTGCGGCAACAACAGAAAGTAACGACGACAATAGATAATTGTACGAATTCTACCTCTCGATGGCATATAATTTCAATGTACAAAAAAGCTGAAGATAGCTTGTACGAGTAACAACTTACTTTAATATCGCAATTGTAATTACTAAATACCAATATCTGTTTGTAATATAATTGTTTTTATTCACGTACTCGTTTTATAATTCTAATGACTTTTTTTTTGGTATCGAAATCTTTACAAAATTAACCTTGCATAAGCATATCCTACATACTCTTTTAAATTATTTTTGACCCTGGAATATAGAAGGTAATTATGAGAAATAATATTTGAAGATGGCTAGACAGAATTTCCTATATAAAGTAATTAACTGTCTTATTACATGTGTCATTAACTGACTTTTTAATTCAAGATGAATCAAGAATAGATCAATCATTTTATCATTACGTAAATGTGATTCGGTAATTTAGAAATTGTTCCCTGTCATTAAATTACTTGATATTTAATTATTTTGCAATTACTTTTGTAATAAAAATCAAATAAATATATTGCATTAATCATTTTTGTATGTTTTAAATCTTTGGAAACTAGTTTCCTTCCAATGAATATATTGTTACTAAATGTAATATATAATTATAAAAATAATTGATATGTATGATGGCAAATAAAGTATTTAAAATGAGAAATCGATTGATAGATGTTTGGAAGTCAATCATATTTAGTTATTAAAACCAAAAAGTAGACTATATTTTTCCGCGCTAGTATGATAGTAACTACTGTCAATAACCTTTTACAGGATTATTGCTAGAAGTATTATCATAATACTTGTCGTGATGAAGATATAAATAAATTTGCACTTATTCTGAGATTAAAATAACTTTTAACCTTAAAAATATTGCATGATCTAAGTTAAAAACACAAATATACTTTTAATATGAGAAAGTGTTTATAATTACTGTATTATCTAGTTACATTACAAGTAATTATTAAAACAATTTGTAATCATATTCTTTATATTAAAAGCAACATTTGAAATTACGATTGCATGCAATGCAATATTTATTATTTATTTGTACATTATTTCTTATTCTGTATTTCTTAACAGTTCTATAACCTAAAAAAATTGTGATCCAGATAGGTAAAATTTCTAAAAATAATATGTAATATATAAAACTTTTTTTTCACAAACTGTATAAGTTCTACTTTATGGTGATTTATTTCTATTAGGATAATAATTATGAATAGAAATATTTTATAGATAAAGTTTATATTTTATTAGCAATTAATCAACAACTTACATACACAGAATATAGGATAATTTAACTAGATGTTTCCTCGCATAATTTTAGATATATGAAATGTTTTGAAAGATTTGCTTGCCATTTGAGAGATACCGAACTAGAATCTGACGACAAAAATAAGCTAAATGCATTTTAACTGAATTTAACTTTATCGTGAAGACAATAAGCGTCAGCTTAAGAATTTTTTTTACAAGTTAGGTTAATCATTAACCTAACCTAACCAAACGAGTTGAGGTTGTTGAATGATAGGCGTGATTATCAGAGGGTGCGAATATTTTATCATGTCTTAATTAATATATCTTGATGCAAGCAAAAGAGAGATTGTACAGTACATATGTGTAGAATTTCTTTTTATATTCTGTAATTTCATGGTAAAAATATGTGTGTATGTTTCGTATTTTCAAGGACATACACATACATATATACTGTATACATACACATATACCAAACATATATACAGTAGACTCAATTCGTATTCGTGCGTCATTTTGAATAGCTCGTATATATCTCAGACTCAATGAAATTTTTAAAAATTAGGAAAAATAAGGTAACAGTTTAACAATTTCTGCGTTCATTTATAATAGAGTACAGTACAAAAGAAGAAAGGAGTTACATAAAGTATAATGAAATAAAAAGAAAATCTTTTGTTCTTCATCTATTATTCCAAATTAGTTGTGAGGATCCAAACGTGGTCCGAAAGGAGGTTTTCACCGGCTTTAAAAAAAATCACGTTTCACAATGCAAAAGGGCGAAATTAAAGATCTGACAAGTGAGTTAAATAAACAATGAAAGTTTTTTTTTTTGTAAAAGATTTAAAACAATAGCAAGACTAAAGTCGAGGAAAACGAGGCCGGAGAGGAGTTATGTTCTGTCGCGAAGGTGACCTCTCCCGCGCCCTTCATCGGGTCTCGAATTGTCACTAGGTGACGATGAGAGACCAATGGAGAGGCGACTGCGGTTGAAAAATCTATAAAACCGCGTTTTCAAGGACATTAAATTAAGAGTTCTTGGTCTTGAGTTCATAGCACTCCTTTCATGGAATTTTTATGCTTCTGTCCCAAAATCAACAAATGTAGAGTCGACTTCGACTGCTGACCCGGAAGTTCGCCCAGGTATTTTCCGACGACGATCATCCTTTCCAAGTGTGCAGTGCGCCCCGGGGCCGACGCTCTCCACATCGTTTCACCGGCAGCTCAGCGTTCGTTTGGATAATTGAACTCTTTTTATTGTACAGTACTAACTGGTTCGCCCTTGGATAGGCCTTACGCCGATTGTTAAGAGTAGCTGTAAGCATCATTTTTATGTTTAATAACGACTTACAATGGAAACCTGTCTCAGTGAGTCTTAACACACACGACGGAGTAGACCGCTCGGCTGTCGAAACACTCCTCACCCTCAATCGGTTTACCTCACACGTTACAGTGTGGGTGTGGACATGTCAGGAACTCACGACAAGTCTGGATTAGTAATAGACGATAGCAATATAATATCGATATTATCGAATAGCTTTGGTATAGTCGACCTTGAAATATCGAATGATTTAATAAAATAAAATAGATACTATTGCGGTTATTTGAGTAGACCAGGGGTCACCAAACTTTTTTACAGCGGGCCAAATAACTAAGAAAATGAAGAACGCGGGCTGTAACCATTTTGTTTAATACAGCACACTGAATACACAAAAAATAAAGATAACCAACATATTTATATACCAATACACGAACACGATGGCTATAGCAAGCTCGTAATCGCTTTTCCTAGAAACTTCATTGTCGGTACTTAGGCTACACAAAAAGTGCTCTGATATCCGAAGTCGCAAAAAGTCGCCGAATTTTTTATTTCACTGATTTTCCTAAAAATTATATTATTGTCAGATGCAAAAATCAGATTGGACTACTTCTGGCATTTATACTTACTATGTTTAAAAAATTAAAATAAGTGTAAGTTTATCTATAGACTATGATATTCCCATAGAAATAATTATATTTACCTCGTTTGTGGCACAGTGTGGTGGCGGGCCGGATCTGGACCGCATGCCGTAGTTTGGTGACCCATGGCGTAGACTATCGTCTAGAACAGTGGTTCCCAATTACTTTTTCCTGCGTACCACTTCAAGAAAGAGCTCAAACTCGCGTACCCCTTATAGCAGAAATTCATATTAATCCATACTAATATAAATTCGAAGATAATTCTTCTGTCTGTCTGTTACCTTTTCACGTCTAAACCGCAGAACAGGTTTTAATAAAATATGGCACGGACATAGCTTACACGTTGGAGATGGACATAGGCTACATTTTACTGCGAGAAAATATCTTACCCCCACGAGAAAATTCGATATAACGCGGGCGAAGCAGTGGGTAGACAGCTGGTGATAAATAAAATAAATTTTTTTTTTTACACTTATTACCTTTAAAATACAATTCTAATAATAATGAAAATAACGTAAAGTTATTTAATTTTAATGCGACAAATGTGCACGATTTTCTTTGCGTAACTTTGTAAAATCTGGTTGGTTTTTGGTCAGCTTCAGTCTCGAGTCATCTTTGAGTCGAAGTCGGTGACGATTCATGTTTGTCACGGCCGAAAATCCGCTCTCGCAGAAGTATGTTGTGCAAAATGATAGTAAATATTTTATTGCCGCTTCGCTGACACGATAATAATGATAATTGTGCAATTTTTGTTTCTTGCGTAAGAATTTCATGTAGGTATCGTCACAAATGCATTTTTTTGATGAAATTTCGAGAATATTTTTAGTTATAAATAAACGAATTTGCGCATTCGACATCGTGTTGTAAATTTCCGAATTTTTGATGGTCCACCCATTACATAGGTCTGCAAGTAAAAAACTGCATAGGATTTTTATACATTTTCTTACAGATTTCAACTTGGTAAAAACGAAAAAAATACGAAAAAAATTCCATTTCGTCAATTTATTTGTTACACTGAAGTTTTTGTTTATATTTAGCGTAAAATTTCTAATTAACTTAAAATTTACTATTCTTTTCTTTTTATTTAAAAAATAGCCTTAAAACGAAGACTTCTCACATTAATTCTATCAATTATAACTGGACTTGGTAATAAATAAATAAAAATGTTAATGATTGAAGAGAGTAGTGGTAGGGGGAACTGGGTTAAGTAGTTTTAGCGTTAGGAGGAAGGTCGCATGATCGTATAGAAACAGGTTAAAAGTTGATAGTGAGTAATATTATTGGTGAGGTTGAGCATGTTTCGACATGTTTTCTGGGATACTAGGAATAAATATAAACAACTCGCTGTTGGATTAGATCGTGTTTCAACAAGCTAAATAAGTTCAGTATCTCGCTGGTCATCTAATGCCACCCTCAGTTTATATCCAGCATTCGAATGCTACTGTGCTTGTATTTTTATTTCTGGAATATGGCTCGCAGAGGTTGTGTAATTTCTC